ACACACACACACACACACACACACACACACACACACACACACACACAATGGAATATTATGCAGCCATCAAAAGGAATGAGAGCTTGCCATTTGCAACGACGTGGATGGAACTGGAGGGTGTTATGCTGAGCGAAATAAGTCAATCAGAGAAAGACATGTATCATATGACCTCACTGATAAGAGGAATTCTTAATATCAGGAAACTGAGGGTTGCTGGAGTGGGGGGGGTGGGAGGGATGGGGTGGCTGGGTGATAGACATTGGGGAGGGTATGTGCTATGGTGAGTGCTGTGAATTGTGCAAGACTGTTGAATCACAGATCTGTACCTCTGAAACAAATAATGCAGTATATGTTAAGAAAAAAAAAGGAAAAGAAGAAGATAGCAGGAGGGGAAGAATGAAGGGGGGAAAATTGGAGGGGGAGACGAACCATGAGAGACAATGGACTCTGAGAAACAAACTGAGGGTTCTAGAGGGGAGGGCGGGTGGGAAGATGGGTTAGCCTGGTGATGGGTATTAAAGAGGGCACATTCTGCATGGAGCACTGGGTGTTACGCACAAACAGTGAATCATGGAACACTACATCAAAAACTAATGTAATGTATGGTGATTAACATAACAATAAAAAATTTTTAAAAAATAAATATGCTTAGAGATCTAAAGGAAACCATGTTTAAAGAATTAATAGAGGGGCACCTGGGTGGCTCAGTCGTTAAGTGTCTGCCTTCGGCTCAGGTCATGATCCCAGGGTCCGGGGATCGAGCCCCGCATCAGGCTCCCTGCTCAGCGGGAAGCCTGCTTCTCCCTCTCCCACTCCCTCTGCTTGTGTTCCCTCTTTCACTGTGTCTCTCTCTGTCAAATAAAATCTTTAAAAAAAATAATTAATAGAAAGACTCAATGAATACAGAATCTCAATAAAGAGAGATGATTAAAAAAAAAGAGACCCAAGTGGAAATTCTGTAATTGGAAAATACAATGACCGAAATGAAATGAAATGAAAAATTCCCTAGAGGTACTCAACAACAGATTTAAATGGCAGAAGGAAAAATAAGTGAACTGGAAGGTGGAGCAAAAGAAAGTATTCAATCTAAAGAGCAAAGATTTTTTAATAACTGAAGAATTATGAACAGAGGCTCAGAGACCTGTGAGACAACATCAAGCATAGCAACATATGTGTTATGAGAGTTCCAGAGGAAGAGGAAAGCGGTGTAGAAAAAAAATACAATCGATGGATGACTTATCAAAAACAATGGAAACCAGAAGGCAATAGGATAACATATCCAACATGCTGAAAGAAAAGTCTGTCAACCATGAAGTCTACATACAGCAAAACTGTCCTTCAAATGTGAAGGAGAAATAAAGACATTCCCAGATAAAGACTAAGAGATTTATTGCTAACCTCTATATCAATCATTATATTACATGTTTTTTTTTTTAAGATTATTTATTTATTTATTTGACAGAGAGAGACACAGCGAGAGAAGGAACACAAGCAGGGGGAGTGGGAGAGGCAGAAGCAGGCTTCCCGCGGAGCAGGGAGCCTGATGTGGGGCTCGATCCCAGGACCCTGGGATCGTGACCTGAGCTGAAGGCAGATGCTTAACAACTGAGCCACCCAGGCGCCCCAATTATTATGTTACATGTGAATAGACTAAATATCCCACTCAAAAAGCAAAGATTGTCAGACTGGATAAAAAAGCAAGACACACCTATATGCTGTCTACAAAGGACACACCTTAGATTCAAAGACATAAATAGGATGAAAGTAAAAGGATGGAAAAATATCACCATGCAAACAGTAGCTTATCAGCAAGCTAGCTAGAGGGACTATGTTAAAATCAGACAGGGGCGCCTGGATGGCTCAGACGGTTAAGCGTCTGCCTTCGGCTCAGGTCATGATCCCAGGGTCCTGGGATCGAGCCCCACTTTGGGCTTCCTGCTCAGCAGGGAGCGTGCTTCTCCCTCTCCCTCTGCCTGCCACTCCCCCCTGCTTGTGTTCTGTCTCTCTCTCCCTCTCTGTCAAATAAATAAAATCTTAAAAAAATAAATAAAAAATAAAATCAGACAAAATAGACTTTATGACAGGAAATATTACTAGGGAAAAACAAAGACATTTGTTAATGATAAAAGGATTGATACACTAGAAAGATATGACACTTATAAATGTATATGCACCTAACAACAGTACCCCAAAATGTATGAAACAAAAAGTGACAGAATAGAAAGGAGAAATAAATTATTCAACAATAATAGAGATGCCAATCCTGCACTCTCAAAGTTGATAGAAGAACTAGATAGAAAAACAAGGATATCGAAGGTATAGATGACTTGAACAATACTATCAACCAACTTGTCATAACGGACATATGATACTCCACCCACTGACTGCAGAAAATGCATTCTTCTCAAATACACATGAAACATTCTTCAGTATAGATGTTGTGCTGGGTCACAAAACAAGTCTCAGGAAATTTAAAAAGATTGAAATCATGTAAACTATGTTCTTTCATCACAGAATTATATTAGAAATTTACAACAGAAAAAAAAATCTAGAAAAAAAACCCATTTATTTGGAAATTAAATAACATAGCTCTAAATAGCCCATGGGGCAAAGAAGACATCACAAGGGAAAATAAAAGTATTTTGAGCCAAATG